TTCTTTGTTCCTCCTCGCAAAGTTCCTCCAGTCGAGATTCCACGTGTTTTGCATGTTGATCGCTCGTAAAATAAATGGTCGTTATACCGCCGACAATCGATAGCTGTGTGTTTGCTCCTTCATTAGCTCGATTAAATCGATATCCGGATTCTCCTTGAAATCTCAAATTGATACAATAATTGCTAATTTATCACCTAGCGTGACTAGTGAAAATTTTGTTATTAGTTCCAAATCAAGGCAAATTTACTTTCTATATGCAATCAAACAATGAATTTTTCAGTTTAACTTGAGAACTGCTCATAAAAATGTATTCACAGACGCAAGTTTTTGATTCATTATCAAAAGTATATTTATAATACTTCTTAATGTTTTATTTAATTTAATTAAAAAAATATTAACATTACATTTGATGCAGAAGCATATTTTTTTCTTTTATAATAAGATGAAATAAGATGAAGTTGTATAGTATAAAATATGAAATAAATTTTTGCATTTATATATATATTGTATATAAAATTTATTATAATATAGTTTTTATCGCTTGTTGTGTTGGTCTAATTATACATCCATATATTAATAATATAAGTTTTTAATATTTTAACAATTCCTGTAAATTGAACATTCCTGCAAATATTATAAATTTTTGCATTATTTAATAACGGCAATTTTTAATTAATTTTTAAAGAATAAGAAAAAAAGCTTTAAAAGAATCGATATAATTTCTCGTCAGAAGATATCCAGCAATAAATTCTAACTACAGACGGAGCAAAGTATAGGTAATTAAAACTGTGTGATTACAACTGAGTAAATAATTTAAAAATTTTTCTAATATTATTTAAAAGAATTGAATAATTATTTCATTTACATGTCATCCATCACATAGCGGATTTTAACCGTAATTTTAATTTATTTTTGATGCATTTTTTAATACTGGCTAATTCTGGAAAGGAAATCGTTATTCTCTTTGATCTCGTTGAACGCTTGATTTCTTTATGACTGTACAAAATTGGAAGCTGGGAAGCGCGCATCTGCGTGAGATGTTTCGTGTATCAGAAGAAAGAAAACAGTAGGTTAACGTTTATGAAAAATCGGGTAGTAAAAGACCAGTGTTTATTGCCTCTATATACCAGACCGTGCAAGATGTGTCGTGTATTTCTACGTTAAACCTGCACTTTGCTCCGTCTGCAGTTAGAATTTATTGCTGGATACCTTCTGACAAGAAATTATACCGATTCTTCTACTTTTTTCTTATTTTTAAAAATTAATTAAAACTGGCGTTATTAAATAATGCAAAATTGCTTGTAGGAATGTAATTATTAAAATATTAAAGATTTATATAGTTATTAATATATAAATGTATAATTAGACCAACACAGCAAGCAATAAAAACGGATAATGAATTTTATATGTATAAATGTAAAAATTATATTTTATACAACTTTTATTATTTAATAAATTATTATTAAATTGTTGTCATTAATTTAATTATCAATAACTTATTATTCAATAAATTTATATGATTTATCTGGTTAATAAATTATAATAATTTTATGTATATATACACATAAAATATAAATTTCGAATTCATATTTTAGGAAGTTAAATTGTAATATACAATGTTATTTATTTTTGTTTAATATTAAATTAAAGTTAAATTGAATCGAAGTGTTTTCTACAATATTTTTTCTGTCAAATTTTATTTATTTTATTTATCGAAGAACCAATTTTCTAACAGCTATATATTTGTTTAAAATCTTTTAAATAAACACAATTTACATAATCGTATGTATAATATTATTCACAGGCTTGTAATATTACACGAAAGTTATATAATATAATACGTATAGCGTTTTGCATTTAGCAGAAAGAAAATTGGAACATATATAATCATAATCCCCACAAGTATTGAACTTAAATGTCATGTAGACTTTATTGGCCTAATAAAGTTGACGTGAATTACGAGATTCATAAAATTTACAAGGCCGATAGCGGTCGACAGCTTGACGAAGAAATGTTTTGCTGTGTCTTGCTCTCGCATAGACACAGTTACATGTCGCGAAGAAGGTATGTTCGTTAAGTTCGCAGGGACGGTAAAGGAAATCGTCGTCGTCATCATCAGCGAAAATCTACATGAGCAACAGACAGATGCAACGAACGTAACAGACGATCATGATAACACAACGTCGCGTTAAGGGTTACGTGGTGTTGTTAGGAATGGAAACCATCCTGAGATCGCCGCTAAGATTTCGGAAGTGCTTAAGAGAGCCGTAGACATGCAAACGTTCGATGCGATAATTCATTCGAGATTTATCACCCTTCGGCCAAAACCTTGTAAACCGCGTCACGCAATCCTCTTTGGTTGTTATGTATCTGATGTAGAATGTTGCTAATTTTATTATGCTTCTTGCATAATTTTTGCTTAAATCAGATATATGATTTTTATATGTATTTGCAATTTATATAAATCTCCACAAATAAATTATTTTCTTCGAGAAATAGTATTGATACTTAATTTTTTATTATAAAATTTTATATTATATTATTTTATTTTATATTATTTTATTTTATATTATTTTATATTATATGATATTATATTATATTTTATTATATTATATTATATTTTATATTATATAAAATGATTAGCAATTATTTAAGCTACGAAACTCTTAAACGTAACTCTACTCGTAACAAACTTAAGTATATTTATAGCATATCAGTATCTCATTAATTGGGATATTTTTAAATATATAGAGACACATTAATGCATATGCATTTTGGCCGATGCATTACTTCGGTATACTGACCTTTAACCCACGCTGCATAAAACTGGTCTAATAACTGGTTGGCGCATAAATACCGCGGTTGATGAGATGAGGAGTTTCATGGAAAGACAAGATTTTTCGACATCAATTATCCGCGAGCTATAAATCTCCAATAATTCTTATCATTATGCGAGACACGCTCCTGCTTCTTGCGACAATTTTGTTTTTACGTTTGTCCGATTAATATCGTAAAAAAAGGAAAGAGAAACAGTCTTATCTGCCGAGACACGTGCGGAACAAACTTGGAGCAATAGTTTTAGAACCAGTATTCCCACGCGAAAATCCTCCGAACCGTATCTGAACCCTCGTTGTGTGACGCATTTCACGAGATTTTTCGCAAATTGAGAACACGACACGGGCGATTTACGCGCCGGAGAAAGCTTGAGGAAATCATTGTGAATCATTAAAGTATCCACGTTATCAATAACTTGGCGTGAACATGTTAGATATTGACAATATAAATGATGAGAGACATTTCCTGATTTCTACGCGACGCCTTATTATTTTCGCGGTATATTTATAATATGCTATAATAAATAATATAAATATAAATACATACATGTATATAATAATCATGGAAAAAGAATCTTTCTACACACGAAGTCTTATTAAGTTAGGGTCAAACATTAATTTGAAATAAATTTGTGATAGTAAAGTAATAGATGGCATTAAAGACCCATTCAAATGAACAGAACATTCGCGATACGCGAAATTACCCGCTAATCCTTTTCTCTCTCACGGATAATTGCAGATAAACCAACGACTCGTCTTCTCACTAGCACATTCTTGTAATTTTTTGACACGGTGTATAATCTTGCATTTCCGAGGAGCACTTTGAAAAGTCTGCGATTTTTTGTTTAATAATCGGAAATCAAATCTGATATTTTCCATGGTTTCGCTTAAATTAATTTTTGTCTTCGGCCATAACTTAAAAAAGCAAATTATGACATCATGACAGACTGCATTAATATGTTTGAAATTGTAATATTTAAATTATTATTATTATATTAATTTTATTAAATTATATCAATAGTATTATTCAATTCCAATTTTGCGAATTAAATATATTGCTTGTCATACATACATCATAGGAGATAATAAATTGTATAATTTTTTTCTGAAGTAACATATATTGTAGATATAAATATGAAGCGAACAAAGACTTCCAATCAATAAGCTGCATTCAACGCTGGACATGCAAGAAAATAAATCAAGAGTTATGCATTCGAATTAATAAAAATTTAATGACTGCGTTAATTCTGCATATATACATAAATGCATATCCTTTTATGATAAACCCAGCGATAGATCGCGTTTCTCACATCTCTTGAGTAGCCGAAGTAGACGGAGATCACCAGTATTCATTGTTGCGACAGTAAATGTCGTGTTACGTTTCAGCAAACACGACAGCGACATGGTGAAATGCAATTTTCTGCAGCCTGACGATGACGAAGTGGTTCTGTCGAGCAAGCGTTCGTTTCGATGCCTAATTATACGGATGATCGCCATATGTTGAGATATGCTCTTGTCTGATATACAACGTCGTGTTCCACGATTTCGTTGTTGCTATAAGTAACTTGATGATATTTTCAAGATTTAATCTTGCTTCCAGATATCACACAATGATATTATTATTCCATTTACTTTAAAATTCTTGATCCTTAATCGGCAATACAATCGGTTTCATATCGTGTAAGCTTGATTCCGAAGCCGGCTCGAGGCTTGACAAGCTGTAATACCGTCGCCAACGCAAATACTTTTATTTCGACTATGTGTGCATTCGACGTCGGTCTTCGTATTTTATGATTTAACCGGCCTTCTTTAAGATTCAAATGACTGCGCTTTAGTGATCAGCTGGAACGAAGGGACCCAACTCGGGACACCTTTACGATGACTATCGAAATGATCCGCAGATTTAATTCCCCCAGCGCGTAAGCCGTAATAACGAAATGCAAAGCTGAAATCGATATGGGATTGGAGAAAAGGATTATTTGCAAATTCATATGAATGTGATTCTTACTGATAATATCTTCGCGATTACACCTTTTATACATTCAGTTTGCTTTCGGATATCGAGATCACTGATTATCATTTATGATGTGCATAATATATGTAATACATTTTTACGAAATCTATTTCTTTTTTTTTTATATTAAAAATTATTATTTTGTATTCCAGGAGGCGAGTGTGTACGAGACAAGCTCCTATAACTTCTCATCATCATCATCGGGGAAAACAAATTAGGTACGTCACACGTCATATAAATGCACTTACAGAAAAAAAAACCAGATATGAATTAATCGAATTTATCTAATTAATTTTATTAAGATTATAGTTACTCAAGAATATATAAATATTTATGTAGATTTATGAATGTTTGTAACAAAATATTTCTACTTTGAATTTTTTATTATGATATACAATATTTCGTGCATTTTATAAATTTTCTAAAAAAATTTATGAAATATTCTAGATTAGTGTACACCGAGGTCACTTCCAGCTTTTTTTGTTGTCCGGGATGGTCGCAAGTTACTCATTTGAGTTTTGGTTGTAATAAACGTAAGTAAATTTAATGACAGTTCTCCAAGTTTTCAATGTATTGCTCACAAGTATAAAAAATATAATAATTTTAATTATTTAATTATATATTAATTTTTTAAAATAAAATATGTAATATTAATATTTAACATTTAACATAATATTTAACATAATGTAGATGTAATATTGTTCTTTAGCCACGTGTCCAGTGTCATGTCTGAACGGTGGAATTTGTACATCACTTGGTAAATGCACGTGTCCTAAGGGTTATACTGGTAATCAATGTCAGACAGGTAATTTTAATTTCATTTACGAACATTTATGTTGCATAGCATTTATTGTTATTATTTCAGCTTTAATGGGAAAATTATACGATCTAGAAATTAAATAATATCGTTTTCTTTCTTTTTCTCTTACGGGATATTGCACATATTTGCATATATTTATACACATTATACATATTTAAAGTACTCATAAAATAAATAACATTATTTCGTGAAAGAAAGAATATTTAAAGGAAATAGAATTTTTTTCTTTTTTCTAATGAAGATTTAAAATAATTTAATTTAAAATATATTTTATAGCAATTATTTTAATCGATAGCGAGATATGATAACGCTTTTTATTATAAACGAGCAAACTGAAGAAAAATTGAAGTAATATTCGCATTTCAAATAAGCATCGAATTTTTTAAATCAAATTTTTATTATAGTTAAGATTGCGATTATAATATTAGCGTTTGCATAATATATAAAGCATAATGATTAGAATGTTCGTATGCGCGACGAAGAATCACTCATAAATCTATCAAGAGAAGGCGGCAACTATTTAAGTGCAGTCTAGCGATGCAAGACATACAGGACATCGCAATACGGATTGCACTGTAGTTAGTTCAATGTTCGCGTGATTTCTATCAAGGAACATATCGCTTCATGTCGATAATTAATTACATCTGATGATACCAGACAACGAGAAGGCAACTAAGGAATCGATCAAATTGCGCTTTAACGAGGCAATGCTTATATGTCGTTAGTTAGGAGCAATTGTGTCTAATTATATGTATATATATATATATATATATATATATATATATATATATGCGCTATTATTTGATAATTTAGTAAATCAATAATCTAACGAGATTCAATTCTTGCAAAAAAATTTTAAATTATTTTCTAATACTTCTATTTTCTGAAAATAAAGCCATATAATAAAAATATGATTTTATTATCAATTATATATTTTTCTAAAAAATTACATTTTTATTAAAATTTTATTTTAAAATCTATTATTTTTTATGGTAAGTATTTTTATATTTTTTTTTGACATCTTTTAGTATCAAAAGATATAATGCAAACTTTATAGAGCTTGCAAAAAGTGAATTAAATGTTATGTATTTAATATTTTTTATTTTGCAGACGTGGACGAATGCACGATAGAAAAACCGTGTGGACAACTTTGTATAAATGTACCCGGTAGTTATCGATGTCATTGTAGAATCGGGTTTCAACTTCAGCAAGATGGTCAATCCTGTCGGAGAAATGGTATGCAAAATTCAAAATTTAAAATAAATTTTTCGAATATTAACTTTATTAGAATATGTTTATTTTTTGCAGATACTGATGAAAACGCTTTTGAGGCTCGCGACTTAGAAAATAATTTTTACGACATATCGACAACAAAAGATCCGATTACTTCTGATGGTATGTATATACGCACATACATAATAGTATATATAATATAATTTTAAATCTAACAATATTTTTGTTAAATTTTTATACTGAAAATAAAATTATTAATTCGACTAAATCGCGTTTAACTAAATTACTATCTTGTTAATTAAACATATATTAATATTTAAATCAAATATATGTTTTGGTAGATTTTTAATATGTTACATTTAATTTAAATATTTATATACGTTCAATTAATAAAATAGTATTTAAGTTGAACGATTTAATAAAATTAACCATTTTTTTCAGTCTATTGACTTCCTCTATTAATTCTCCAATTATCATTTGCAAAGATTTAATTTTAACAAAGTATTATAATTTAAAGTAATTATTTTATCTTTCTGCTCTCTTTACGATTAAATTATATTCAAAAATTTCAATTTTCGCAATATCAATAAATATGCAATAAATTCACGCTTTAATAACTAAAAATAAAAAATTAATTAGTAAATAATAATAAACAAAATTCCACTTAAATTGTAGATGCAGAAAACGAGCTGAGTGATGATGATCAAGACTACGAAATCATTTTAAAGAGATTGACTAAACTAGAAAAGGTAAGTTATTATATATTTAATATTTGTCAATAGAACATAATTTATGAGAAAACATATTACAACTCTTCAGCAAGTGGCCAAAAACAGAAAGAGAGATACGGAGACTTCAGAGATGAACACCAAAGTTACATTAGCGATCGAGAGCGTTAACGATATGAAAAGAAGTGTCGAGAACATGGTATATTATACAGAAACATTAAAATATGATATACACTCGATTATCTCTATATAACGCATGGCAAATATTTCATAAAAAATTCGCATATAATTAAATTTTGTTACACAAATAAATGTGCAGGTATATTTATTTATACTTTTTATCTCCTCGATTTTCAGATTTTATTTTATTATTGCTGTGCATGTACAACAATAATATATGTATAATTAAAAATAATATTAAATAATTATTTAATTTTGAAAATAAGCGCATTTATTCTTTTAAATTTAAATATTTATTACATAAATTATCTAATAAGATAATTGTGCACATTTATAATTAAAAAAAATAAAAGTAGATTTTAATCATGATTGATCAGAAAAAAATATAATTTTACAATATTAATTTAATTTAATATTATTTCTTTAACAATTTCTGATTTATATTTAATATTTAACAATTATATATGATCTAGTAAAAGTCAAAATTGTTATTTTTATTTTCTTTATAATCTTGTGAAAGAAATGAATGTCGTAAAAAAAGGAATATATGATTCAATAATACAGTTTTGATTCGTATTTCGAGCTATGCTATGTAGAGATTGAAGTGTATAATCAGTAAAAAATAGATATTTATATTATTTATGGATATGATTATGATTTGTTTCAGCAACTGATGCAACAAGAAATATATGATATGAGAAGTAAACTGAAACAATACGAGACAGAAATGAGAAAGATACATCATCTGATGAATCGTGTAGCAGAATTAGAAAATCGTTTGAGAATACGCTGCAGATCGGTGATACCAATAAACAGTGGGTTGAATTTTTAGTATTGCCACATCATTCTATTATCAGTACTATTTAATACTAATAATAGATAGTAGTATTTTTACGAAGTTTTTATTCAGTTGGAATGCTGTATGAAGACAATATTTAAAATGAAAGAAATAGAAAAAAATGCAGAATATTCTGTAACAGAACATTTATTTTCAAATCATAGAATGATGTTGGTTTTTATATCGAAGTTGCTGTTAATTTTAGTCATAAAATTTACATTGAATTTTCTACCATGAAATACCACTGTATGTAATATTTGTTATATTTTAGAAACTAGTATAATAGTAGTAGTATAATTTAAATATGATTATTGTACTTAATCTTTCTATATAATAAACAATGTGGATTTTTTACAATTTGCTACTTTTTAAGTTTTAAAAAAGATGAACATGGTCTATCATATGTTAAAAGAGTGGGTGCATTTTTTGTAAACAGTTAAAAATAATTAAAGTTGGAAAAAAGTTGATACTATTTAAACCATAATTACAATTTAGAACAATTTTATTCAGTAAGAAGCATTAATCAAAATACAATCAAATATATGCAAAAGAAGATAAGAGAATTATTCAGATGTATTAATCCAAATATGATAGCCAGTTGAAAATACAAAAAATAAAAAAGATATATTTGTCATAATTTTATAACTACACCCATCCTTTTATAACAAACGTGATATACTAATGTATAGTAGTAATAATAATTAGTTATTTAATTATTACAGAAGAAAAACCAAGTTTTATAATATTTATAAATTTATAAGCCATATGAAAAGATTAATTTCACAATTTCTAAAGAAAGATTTAATTTTTGCCGTTTTTAGTGTCTTTTAGTATCTTTTTCTGTCGTCTGGTGAGTCTTCGGCTTGATGTTTTGCTGGCCTTTTGTGCTTTCGCTCTACTTTTTTTGTGTTTCAGTATCTTTCGTTTACTCATCCATATGGGATAATTACCATACTGATCACATAATGTTTTCTTATTATATACTCTAGGAGTAGCACCTTCTACTTCCATCTGTTCTTGATCTATGGTAATAGCTTCGCTTTTCTCTTTAGCTTTAGCCTTGTCTTCTTGATTTTCTTTGCATCGACAACTACACATAAAACACATCATGTTACTTTCCATTACATATAATAAAATTTATTATAATTATTATGTATTTATTTATTATAATTATTCTAAACCTCAATTTATAATATCTTTAAAGCATTTTAGAGTTTCTAGTGCAAACGTAAAGCCTTACCTGTAGCAATTTCTTCAATGTCTTTCATTTCAACATCATTAGATGCATTTTCATCAATACCAAGGGTTTTCTTCAATCTGTCTAATTCCTTTGCTGCATAACGTTCTCTCTTCACTGCTCTGCATTTTCTTCTCCATTTACTGCGCAACGATTTAGCCATTTTTCACACGTGTGCTCCGTTAAAACAAGATAAAGGTTATGTTTCAAACGTGCGTGCTCTGTATCTGACCGCCATGTATTTTCGAGGCTACCATCGTGACGTCATTCAGGACTCGAAGCATTGCGAGGCCAAATCGATTCTGAGTCGAATCGCAAGATTCAATTCGGTGAAAGATGTATAATTGAAATTATATTAATAACAATGTCGAAATTATATTAATTATAATAATTTTCATTATAATAATTTTCAATTTACAATTAGTAATAGATAAATACGGTGTTTACTTGACCGTCGATGATTAATTGTAACTTTTGTTATTCGCGCACGTGGCACGTCTAGAGGTATCGATAGAGTGCGCGAGTATCGATTATCGATATTCGCGCGCTACTGTCGCATCATATTTCAAAACTCCCGCCTTCATAATCGAGAACGCGTAGCCGAACGTGCAAGTGCAAAGTGTCGCGCGATTATTAATTGTATTTGGGCGTGATTAGTGCGCGCGTAACGCAATTAATTGTCTCTGCGAGCGAACCATTATGTATAATAAATGTTCGATTGTGTTTACTAGTGAGTGCGACAAATGAAAGCGATGACGAGAGGAAATAGGAGACGAGGAAGAAACCGTGGTTATATCGAGTAAAGGTGAAGAAAATATGAGGTAAATAATTTGTTATATATTTATTAATTAAGAGATAATTACTTTTAGAGAAATATAATTTGAATATTTGGGTTAAACAATTCATTTAAATAAAGATTACATATTTGTGTATTTTGCAGAATAACGATATGCACTACGATATATATATAATATACTAGTATAAAATTCGATATATAATATGTTGATTTTTTTACATATTAATTATTTTACACCTTATTACAATTTGGATTAAATTTTTATTTTGCAGATCAACTGCTTCTTGTTTGCTGAAGACGTCAACAATTTGAGAGGAGGAGGAGGTCTGAGAGAGACATCAGGCATCGGCGGAGCAACCCTGGGGTGAGGATATATTATTTATATTTATTATTTGTTTATTAATTGTAACGATTAAATCAAAATTCATAAATTATATTGTGTTTTAATTATATTTTTGCAAAATACACGTAAAGTAAAAAATAATGAATTTAATGCATACAATAATAATTTTCTGAAATATTAATTACTATTGATAATGTTGCTATAATTTGGATTTTATTTGTATGTTATAGATCAACGTAGCTTCAATGTGATTATAACTCCGCTGTTTCTCACCAATTGGTGAGTGAAAAAAAACTATTTTATTGTAGAGTATATTGTAGAGAGTAGGTGTATTGTAGAGATTAGTGTAGATGTAAATGTAGATATAGGTATTTTGTATATATTTCTAAAAGAAATTATTTTAATATTAACATTATTATATTATTATATTTGTATTAATTATTGTTATAAAATTATTATTACATTTTTAAATATATATACAAGAAATTATTATAATATTAAAATCATTATTATAATACTTATATATTTTTTATTACGTGTCGCGAAAACTTGATAATTATTTAATGCAACCAGCCAATCTCAATGTATATAAAATTAATAAAATAACGTAACGTATATAGTAAAATTTGCATTAAAAATTCGAAAATATTCTTATAAATTCTTATACAAATTTTTAATTATTATTCTCTTCATATTTTTTAATCATATGATAAAATATTTGCAAAATATCTTTTAGGTTTTATGTTATTTTATTACAATTTTGTAGTTTGTTTAGTGCGGGAGTGTCGCCCAACTATCGCGCGTTTAGTGCGGGAGTTTTGTCTAAAGTATCGTGCGTTTAGTGCGGGAATTTTATTTAAAGTATTGCGTGTTTAGTGCAGGAGTGTCGCTCAAAGTATCGCGCTTCGAAAATTGACAAACTTTAAAAATAAACAGATAATTCTAATCGACCTGAGAGAAGGAGCAAGAAGCTTCAGGCGCCAGCGGAACAATTCTGGGGTGAATATTGTAATACTGTAGTATAATATACTTGTTATCAATATTGCATACATGCACATGTACATATATATATATATATATTGTATATATATATATTTATTTATTTATTTATTATTTATTTTCTATTTCTATATTAGTATGATTTAAATAAAAGAGAATTAAAGAGAAATATTTTTGATATATAAATCTTATAAAAGTTTATATTATAAAAATATAGTCTTTATAAAATTTATAAAATTACTCAATTCTACAATACATCTACTGATGATTGTACTGATCTCCGCTGTTGCGCATCGGCCGGTGAGTGATAAATAATATTTTATTAGACTAACAATAACTAACAATTTTGTAGCACTAATAATAGTACAACTAATAATATTTGTGGTAGAACTAACAATATTTATAAAATTTAGATTGTGTGTATGTAGATATAGATCTAGATTATAATAGTCTTCATTTCAGCCGTTTATAATGATTGAGACGCATTTATATGTGAGGTGGGAAAAACACGAATTCAACTTGTTTATCGTTGGACGTATGTAAGAGCTAAAGTTAGTAAAAGATAAGCAGTGACATTTCATGAATTGCTGTACTGATGAGGGTTAATATGAAGCGTTGGCGTAGTTCATTGAACTTATTAAAGCTACTAAAAGTTTCTAAAAGTTACTGCAATATCCTCACGTCATTTTTCGAAACTTGTAAAATTATACATTTTTGTTAACGATCTTTAGAAGTCTGCCAATGATTAACTAGTAATAATAAAATTGTGAATTATATTATTTATTGAATAAAAATTATAATTTTAATTTTATACCATAAATTATAATTTTTTAATGACACTTATACGTAATATTTATTTAATTATTACGCAAATTAATTATTATATAATTATTTTTATTTTACATGAGTATGTCAATAAATTTTATATAATTCACAATTTTATTGTTACTAGTTAATCATTGGCAAGCTTCTAAAGATCGTTAACAAAGATGCATAATTACTAGTTTCAAAATGACGTGAAAATGTTGCAATTGTCTTTTATCAGCCAGGCAATTGATAATTTGTCCAATATTTTCAACTAAAAAAACTAAAAACTAACAATCGAATACTCAATAACTAATATATTGTATGAATTATATAAATTTGATTTTCTACATATAATTTAAATTACGTCTCTTATACATAGGTAAAAATAATTTGTATGACAAAGAAATCTGTACGATAAGATATCATCTCTCCCTTCTCTAGCTTTTATTAACATGTATGTCTTAAAGATAACAGAAAAATAATAATACTGTCACTAGACAATAACTTGCGATGATGTTAGGCATCGAAATCTTGTAGTCATTCTTGACCACATAATAACTCGCAGATTCTTCATACTGATAACATATGATAGAAAAAATTATATTATCATTGATAAATTGTTATTTTATTTATTCAATTTTATAGCATTTAAAGAGGCTTGCAATTTCTATCTCTAAAAATATATCTATTATCTTTGAAAACATTAAAAGAGAAATACTTTTGATATATAAGTCTTATAAAAGTTTATATTATAAAAAATATAGTCTTTATAAAATTTATAAAATTACTCAATTCAATACATCTACTGATGATTGTACTGATCGAATATAAAATTTAACGGGCATAATAATAATTTTTGAAAATATTAATTATTTAAAGCGCTGTTATATTACATTAAAATAGATAAATTTTCCAACACAATATTACGAGCGATAGAAATGGAAAGCCGTCGGGTCGCTTCTCTACATTGAGAGGATTCATGCCGGCACACGATTTACCTGGTCGTTTATAACTGTCGACTTTCACTGATAACGAGAACGCTTTGCCGGAAACATTCCTACTTCCGAATTTTTAGGTGAGCGAGTGACCCACGATACATTGTCAGTTGCTTCGCGTCGATATCATTCAACGGACGACTCGTCGTGGTTAGGTAGTTTCTTAGTTAGATAGTCGACTCGTTTTTCGCTTTCTTGCAATTTTTACGAAAACATCGGCAATCCTAACGGCATCAGATAACGTGTGATAATCAGTGTCGCGTGACAAGGCAAAGGTGAGTGACGATATTATATCCGCGCTTTAGAAACATTATTTTCAGTATCGGACAACGCAATACATATACAATAGTGCGTACATTTTTATTTCGCGTAAAACGATGAGAGTTTCGAGAAAAAATTTAATTTGCGGTGCAATTATGAAATAATAATATAAATAAGGTTTTTTCAGTGACAAAATTACGCAACTATAAGGTTCTTTTGCATAAAAGTTAGGAAAACATAAATATAAATAATCTTCTGCTAATTTTATATTTCCAAATTGATTTCATTTAAGTTCTACATGAACTTGACATTTGCTAAAATCAAGGAAGTTAAAAAAAATGCACTAAATTCAAACGCGAAAAATAAAGAAAAAATATCCATAAAAAGTAGAACAGAATTTATAAATTTTATACAATAGAGTCTCTTAAAATCTATGTTTTTTTAAATATTATATCAAAGTCAAGATTGCGTAGTCTTATCTTTTCATTATCATAAGAACAAGTTTCATAAATACCAATTGATCGGTATTATAGCGATATACATTTCGGTATCGAGTTGCGAAGTATATACATGCTAGCGAATAAAGTGCAACGGTCCATTGCACTAGCTGACCCGGTTGGAGTGTCATCAGTGTCATCAGTGGTAATAACTAGGCCACCGCATGCATACACGGTACGCTTAAGTTCCGGTGGTTTATTATTGCATTCTCTCTCGAATTCTCGACGAATATCCCCATCATTCTGGAGGACCGTACAGTTACTTGAACTCACTTTTATTCCGAAATAAATAACTCGAACCGTGTGACACTTTCTTTCTCTCTGCCTGTTCCTTTTGAAAGTTATTCAGGACCTTGTGTCTTTGATAATATACATCAAGGTTGATCAAATCTGTGACGCCGACCCTAAATTGAATAATTATATCTAGAATTTTTATCTATCGATTTTTATTTGAAATAATCGTAGGGAATATTTGCTTTTGATAAAGACTTTCGTCGCGTCATTTATGAAAATTAATTAATTATTAATTATAATAATCAGTAAAACACATTTGTTTAAATTATAATTATTAAATTAGTAATTATTTATTGAACGCGTCTTTCGTTATGCTAATTATTATCATTAGCTTTTCGCTTAAGTCACACCAGTCGGAAGTGTTTTATATCAAAAATTTAAATTAGTTAATTTTTTCAAAATTTATTTAAAAAAAACTAATAATAAAAAATCGGTCTATTTAATTTGACAGTAGAAAAATGTCTTTCTATTTTTAGAACATTATAATGCTAATTTTTATAAAACCATCTCTTTGCACAACATTTTTTCTTTGTTTTTATATGTGTCTGTCTTTTTCTGATAAAAATCATAGCTATAAATATAAATATAAATCTTAACATCCTATTTCTCGAGTTTTTTCTACATTTGAAACTTCTTTGCTAGCAATTCTATTTTTCTTTAAAACATCAATAATTATATATGTTAAGCGTTTATATTAGCTACCTTATCGTGTATTTATGGATACAATTTTCCTGTTTTCGTAATCATGTATGTGCAATATCATATATACGATAAGAACGCGTGATAAAAAGATACTACTCTACGTTATACATACATACACGATTAAATAAACTAAAAAAATATTATTGATCGCAAAGTAAGAAACTCTGAAACCATTAAGAAATCAGGAAGTTGTGAATTACGAATATTATCATTCTTCCGGATTTATCTTAGCGTGGGAATGTTTAGTGAAATGCATAACGAGAAAATCAGCAATTTATTCCTTTGATGATTCTCACGATTCAAAGACTAATCGCGAATTATAATAAACGCGTAAGCAGTTATATTAATTTTGATTAGATATTTCTTAAGTAAAAGTAAAGGAATCAAAAAACAATTTTGCTAATTTAATTCTGCTAAAATTTTTAAATTCTATTCTACATATATCTATGATTCATAATAACAATATTAAAGTAATAATATTTTTGCATTTTGTGACTTTTTTTTTTAATAATTGTAAACATAATTTAGAAGCGAAATGCTACATTATTTTAATTAGCTTCAAGTTCTAAGATTGTATGTCTGTAGAAACGAGAAACTAGTTCTTTTCTAGCTCGTGAAATTCTAAGGGAAAGCAAGAACGTCTAAAATCTTATGATCAATTTTCCAGACACGTTTTTGCAAAAATAAAACTGTTTAGATCGAAACATATGGTAGACTTATCTGATCCATTTACGAGAACTTATGCATGAATAATATTACTTATGTTTATTTATTATCAGTTTATAATTATTTTTGTGCTAGTAGTTTAATTATTTATTGATATAGAGTTATCAATTTCTATTAATTATATTAACATATAATTATCTGAGAGAGATTCTTAATTGAGTATTACGAGAAAAATTTTTTTATTGATAAGATTGATATACTTTATTATAAAATATATTTATATATTTACATAGCTGTTTAATTTTTGCATCTTCTCATAATCATTCATTTTGTTAACAATTTTTCCAAACAAAAATGTGATTATAAGAAAATTATTATTATTATTATTATAACTAAGAAATTATTAATATTACAAAATTTGAAGCACTCTTAATATTTTGAAAGTTAGCAACATAGAGAAAATAAGCAATTATATATGTTGATTTTCACATATTATTATAAAAATATATTATATATATATATAAATTTAACAACGTATTCTTATAGAAAGTACATGTTATAGGAGCTACCACATAAACAGTAAATAAAAATCTCTCGAGCTAAACTGATTTTACACTAACTGTGCAATTAAAAGAGATTCGTTTTACTTACAATTTCTACTAATAATAAGGATCGCATTTAATGCAATTATTTCAGAATTTTTCTTGTTTACTATGATGATTGGGTTTAATATAAACATATGAAAGAAGGCACTATATTTATTTCTCTCAAATATGATGAGAAAAGTATATCGTCATATTGCATTCTAGTCTATCATTTTCCGGTCTTCGTTTACGATGACTTATCATCATGGTATTGACATCAATTCCGCTATCGCCAGTTAAGCAGGTCATTGTCTGTCTTTACTGTTGTAGAATATCAATGGATATAAAATGACCGCGCTAGACGATTTATCTCCTTACGAGAAACTTGGCGCTATCGTATATCGATGATAGAGATGATGAACTGTCAACGAAATAAAATTCTTCCACTCCACAAAGAATTGACAATTTTCGCAGGGTCCCAAATTTTTTTCCCGAAAGCTTTCTAAAATTTTATCAAATCACGCAAAAATCAACTTTTCACAATATTTATATGATTAAACTTTTTCGGTTATATGTATGTACATATATTTATAAAAAAATTATATACACATATATACTCTTCTATATATTATAATTATAATTTCGAAAGCTAGTGAAATCATGACATCTTTTAGATACATTTTTAAATAGCGCATTTTTTGTTGGCTATGGCATACTTTATATAGGATTTCTGCTTTTCTATATTTAAATATGTCGTATCAATGCAAATGATGCCACTAACTAAGCCGGTTTAGTATAATCTTTAGCGATCTCGTTCTCTTTCTAAGAGAGGCCATGGAAATTACGCACGAGAGTAAAATCACAAAGAAGTCGACATATTTAAAAACATCGTGTACAAGGCCGCTATAATTACATTTCACCCAACCATGGAATTGCTTGAGATTAATACTTAACGTAGCAAACATCCGCAATTTTCCTTTGAGAGAATTTGATGTGGCAAACGGAAATTAACAGACTTTTTAGACATCGAAATTTCGCATTTATACAGTACTTATAAACCAAACGATAAATAAAAATTTGAAATCAAAATTCTTTTAACAGTTTAGAAACGAAGAAAGATTTCTTCAAATTTTCAACACATTTAACATTGTAATTGCGATTAATATCTGAATTAGACATTGATATTATTTATTTTAAAAGTATGCAACGAAAATTCAAAATTTATAATTATTTTTATTATTATTGCCTAAAAAAACTATTATATGTGTTTTACTGTCATAAAGTGTGATAATTAAATTCTTAAAATTTTATTTTTTCAAAATTAATTAATCAATCTTGACTCTATTGTCAGTTATAAGTGAGAATGCGAAATAATGACAATTTAGTCGCATCCTGCAGTTTCTCTGCAGATGTTGCAATTACAGCCAAAGTATTCATCTCACGTAATTCGGGTTTGCATATTGCAGCGTGTTTTAAACAAAGTGTCTGATATGGTGCGTTGGGATGTATTTTTGCAAAAGAAAGAGAAAAAGAGGGACTAAAACTGTACGAGAAATCGCAAGTTAACTAGTCGTTGCCTATCCGTGATAGAAATCGAATGTGCGAGGAAACATAAAGCGATACATGTAATATTTTGATAAATATTTTCCGTCGTGGCTGCATTTAATTAAAAGACGTATTCTCGAGTGCGGCAAAGCATTATTGGATCAAAGATCGCCTCGTTGAGATAAATTCTGCATGTGTCGGAAGCTTACTATTAACTCAAATTGAAAACTGAGAGATATTAAACTGCAAATGAGACACATATTTCATATATTACTTCGGGAACATCAAAGTATATGTTTTCGCTTTATAATTGTATATATTAATTACGCACTATTTAAATAGTTACGTAATTTATTTAGCCGCAGTTACCATTGCTTCAATATAAACGATATTTCTTGATATTAAAAGTATAAAATTTCAAGATATTGAATAATTCTTCAACGATGCGAACATCCGCAAGATATTCTACATGAATTATAAATCACAAATTTTATTGAAAAGATATCAGTATCGTCGAGGAAATAGCCATTACTCGCTTGTGAGATGTGTTAGTCTCTTCAGATATAAAGTTGATGAAACTTTCTCCCATCTCACATTGTCAAGGATTTCTCGAGCAGAATAAG